TGAGTTTCAGTGCGATCATGATCTTTGTTTATCCTGTTTGTGTTGTTCTTAGTTGATCATCTTTGCTAATTCAAATCTGCTATCGTTTATTATATAATTTTTTTCCTTGTTTCTTATTGTTGTTGTTTTTGTTTTTTCCTGTTCTTGTCAGTGAAGCGTCTCTGTATTTTCCTGCTTGGTTTGATTTTCTCTGTGAAATTGATCGTCTTTTTCTGTGTTGATTCTTCGAGTTTTTGAGGTTTAATTGTTTTACTGAGAAGGAAAAAAACCCTAAATTTGTTGCTGTTATTTTCCACTGGTTTTTGGATAGTGATTGATTGACTCTTAGTTGTACCTTATCATCTACTCTTCCTTTTGGGTTTCGCTTTAAGTGAGAAGACAGCTTTTTGATACTAAAAGACTTGAACTTTGATCATTTGGTTGATAGGTTTGAAGATAATTTAATCGGAAGAGTTTTAAGTTATGGAGAACAGAGGCCAGAAACGTATGGAGGTGGTGGAAGAGCTACCTGCTGATAAGAGAGCTTGTAACTCGCAGGATTTCAGGCCAAGCGCATCCGGCTCATCTGCTCAGGCTCAAACCACCAATGGCACGAGTTCGGGACATGAAAACACTGAAGCTGAGGCTCAAACCACCAATGGCACGAGTTCGGGACATGAAAACACTGAAGCTGATATGGATACTTCTTCATCTGCATCTGCTTCTGCATCTGCATCTGCATCTGCTTCTCATTCGAGCCGATCAGATGGAGAACAGGAACAGGATAAGGATTCGGACTACGGTTCTTGCGATTCTGACGAGGTGGAGCCGAGACACAGGGTGCTTCAGGAGTATCAGAGGCAGAGATCATCTGGTGATCAAGGGAAATTGAAGTCTCTCTTGTCGAGTCTGAGTGAAGAAACCGATCCTTCTCTGCAGTTAACCGGGCTTACAGAGTTATGTGAAGTGTTGTCATTTTGTACTGAAGAGTCGCTGTCCAGCCAAATGGCCGACTCGCTCTCACCGGTGCTTGTTAATTTAGCTAAGCATGAGCACAATGCAGATATTATGTTGCTAGCAATCAGAGCAATCACTTACTTGTCTGATGTTTATCCGCGGTCGGTAGCATTCCTCGTAAGACATGATACTATCCCTGCTCTCTGCCAAAGACTATTGACTATTGAGTACTTGGACGTTGCTGAGCAGGTACTTGCATACTTTTAGCCTCATTAGATTCATTATTTTCTTTAAACACCTAAAGAGAGCTAGTTTTGATCAATATTTGATCAATATGTAATACCTACTTTTTGACTTGGCTAGTGTCTGCAAGCACTTGAGAAAATATCCCGAGATCAGCCAGCAGCGTGCTTGAATGCTGGAGCAATTATGGCAGTGCTTTCTTTTATTGATTTCTTCTCAACAAGCATACAGGTTAGTCATCTTAAGAATGGCCTTGCTATGTTATTTACTGACTTGGTTTAGTTCAAATGGGTGACTTGTCGATTTGAACATTGCATGTGCATCAGAGAGTCGCAATTTCTACTGTGGTGAATATATGTAGGAAGCTTCCATCTGAGTCTCCCTCGCTTTTCATGGATGCTGTTCCAATATTATGCAATCTTCTTCAGTATGAAGATCGACAGGTCAGAAAGATGCTCAGTTCTTTTTAGTTTTCTCGTTGAAATAAAATATTCTTCTGCGAAATAGTGATAGCATATATGTTTCGCTTTGCAGTTGGTCGAGAATGTGGCTATTTGCTTAACAAAAATAGCGGATCGAGTTAGTCAGTCACCTGCACTGTTGGATCAACTATGTAGCCATGGACTAATTCATCAATCCACGCATCTTTTAAACTTGAATAGCCGCACTACCTTATCTCAACCTGTTTACAACGTACATGAGATCTCTTCTCCTTTTGGATTACCCTCCTTGATATTCACTACGTAAAAATATCTGTAACCTCGTCCATTTTGGCTTTGCTTCACAGGGTGTGATTGGACTGCTAAGAAAACTATCTTCTGGTTCAGCGTTAGCTTTCAGAACGTTATATGAGCTTAACATTGGCTACAGACTAAAAGAAATCATGTCCACGTATGACATCTCTCATTCAGTGTCTTCTACACATCCCATCAATGCATGCTCCAACCAGGTTTGATTTTTTTCTTAGATCACTCTTATATTCTTTTGTACTCCAAACAGAGTGTATCAAAATAGCTTTTGGTGGAAGGAGTAATGATAAGATTTTAATTTTTGGTGGTGGAAACCAAAACCACTCAGGTACATGAAGTGTTGAAGTTGGTAATTGAGCTTCTCCCAGCTTTACCTGAAGAGGATAGTAAGCTGACATTGGAAAAGGAAAGTTTTCTTGTCAATCAGCCTGATCTTTTGCAACAATTTGGAGCAGACATGCTTCCTGTTATGATTCAGGTTATTTCCGTCAAACAATTTTATGCTCTGTACATGTAAAGTTCCTGGTTATTTCTTTTTTAAGAGTATGACGTAACTTGTGTATTCTTTGTAGGTGCTCAATTCTGGAGCTAATGTATATGTTTCTTATGGTTGCCTATCAGCAATTCACAAGCTGACTTGCTTGAGTAAGTCATACGACCTTGTTGAGTTACTGAAGAATGCTAACATTTCAAGGTATTTTGTTTTGTAATATTTTCTGAAGAGCTTTATGTTGTCCTAACCGTTTTGTTTTTTAGCTAATGGTAGTGCATTTCATGTTGCTACAGTGTTTTGGCGGGCGTTTTGGCAAGGAAAGATCCTCATGTGGTCTTTGTAGCGCTACAGATTGCTGAAGTGCTTCTTGAGAAATACAGAGATACCTTCTTGAATTGCTTTATAAAGGAGGGTGTTTTCTTCGCTATTGAAGCACTCTTAAATTCTGATAGGGGATCAGCTGACCTTTCACAAAAGCCTGTTGCGAAAGAGAGCGTGCAATGCTTGTGCCAGTCTTTTGCGCTTGCTTCTTCTTCACAAACTTGTAAGATTGAAAATGATTCTGTCTACATTCTTGCAACACGTATCAAGGAGAGGTTCTTTGGACCTGAGGTATTCGACTCTGAGAAAGGCTTGACAGATGTCCTCCGAAACCTCAAGAACTTGTCGGTGGCACTTAACGATTTGATGAATGTACCCATTGATGCACATGTCCATGATGAGAAATTCTTCTCAATATGGAATCAAATCGGGGAAAGGCTGAATGGAAGGGAATCTGTGTCCACTTTTGAGTTTACAAAGAGTGGAGTTGTAAAGTCACTGGCAAATTATCTGTCTAATGGACTCTATCAAAGGAAGCTCAGCAAAGCGGATCCTGAATTTGAGAGCTTACCATATGTTGGTAAGAGATTCGAAATGTTCACAAGATTACTTTGGTCTGATGGCGAGGCAACTTCGTCCGTGTTAGTACAGAAGCTCCAAAGTTCCTTATCTTCTTTAGAAACCTTTCCGATTGTCCTAAACCAAACTATGAAGCAAAGGAACTCATTCGCGGCTGTTCCAAATGGACGTTACACAAGTTATCCAAGCCTAAGAGTTCGTTTTGTTAAAGCAGAGGGGGAGACTTGTTTGCGTGATCACTCCAAAGACTTTGTCACCGTTGACCCACTTTGCTACTTGGATGATGTCGATCAATACATGTGGCCTAAAGTGCATTTGGAACCTTTAGATTCCATCGAAGCAAAAGATCAAGCTATAGAGTGTCAGTCTTCTCAATTGCAGTCAACTTCGATATCTTGTCAAGGTGAAAGCTCAAGTCATATGGAGATTGACAGTCCTGATGCGCCTGAGTCGCAGGTAATTACTAAAATGCCTCTAATCTTTTGGCTTACAGAAGTAGCATGTGCAACCTTTCTTTTCTCTTCAGGTTTTGCTTTAATTAAGAGGGATTTAAACGTTTTCCAGTATGAGTTTAGGGGAAGCAATAATGTATTAGAAACTGTATTCTCTTCTTTCCACTTGATATTCTAGATGGTGGAAATATTCAAAATGGAATAAAAGTAGTGGACTTTTTTACTCTTAGCTGCACCACCATTAGCTGTTACTTTTTCATCATTAACGTTAATCTCGCTTTCATGACTTCCACAAGTAGCAGTTCTGAATTCAAGATGAGCAGTAGGTAGTGTTTTTGTTGTTGGTTTACTTGAGAAGTTCTCTTCCTTGGTATCTTTCCCTCTCTTCAAGCTTTCTGTTTTGGTTATTTGTACTAAATTTATCTTGTTTATATCAAGGTATCTCAAGAGGAAGACCCGGAGCAGCTTCCAGGGCCATGCGATGATTCAGTACAACATGATTCTTCCTCATCAGAAAAGGAGGATGCACTACCGAGGCTTTTGTTCCGTCTGGAAGGGCTTGAACTAGAACGCTCTGTGACTGTATACCAGGCGATTCTCTTGCACAAGTTTAAATCAGAAACTGAAAGTACCGACGGTTCAAAGATGAGTGCATCCCACAGCATCACTTATGAAAAGGCTCCACAACTTGCGGATTCACATGAAATTCCGAATCCTCTGGGATCTATGGACAATGATGAGTGTCACGCGTTCTTATCCTACTTGTTTGCTCATAGACTTGCTTTGCGCCTCAAAGGGACAAATCCTGCTGCTTATGACATACTATTTCTGCTCAAGAGTCTGGAGGGCATGAACAGATTTCTCTTTCACCTGATTTGTCAAGAAAGGATTAATGCTTTTGGAGAAGGTAGGCTGGAGAATTTGGATGATCTGAGGGTGGAGGTTCGTCCTGTGCCATATGCTGAATTTGTTAGCACGAAGCTTACAGAGAAGTTAGAGCAGCAGCTGCGTGATTCTTTTGCTGCGTCAACCTGTGGTCTACCACCATGGTTTACTGAACTAATGGATTCATGCCCATTTCTGTTTAGTTTTGAAGTTAAATCTAAATACTTCCGACTTGCAGCCTTCGGTTCACAGCAAGTCAATCATCATCCACAACACCTTAGCAGTTCAAGTGGTCATGGTGAAGGGCGTGAAGGGCGCCCAGCAACTGCTAGTTTACCTCGTAAAAAGTTCTTAGCTTTCCGTGAAAAAATTCTAGATTCTGCTGCACAGATGATGGAGTTATACGGCAACCAGAAGGTGGTCATTGAGGTTGAATACGATGAAGAAGTCGGAACTGGTCTTGGGCCAACACTGGAGTTCTATACACTTGTCAGTAGGGCATTTCAAAACCCTGATCTTGGTATGTGGAGGAGTGATCGTAGTTCCTCTCCTTCAGGACTCTTTCCACGCCCTTGGTCATGTGCCTCAGCTGCTTTTCCTACTGTGCTGAAGAAATTTGTCCTCTTGGGGACAGTGGTAGCAAAGGCTCTACAAGATGGACGAGTCTTAGACCTTCCCTTCTCCAAAGCCTTCTATAAACTAATTCTCGGACAGGTAAATTGGGGTCTTTAAGCATCTCTCGTTTGCATATGAATATCTCATTCAGAATTTGTTCGAAAATCTAACATGGATGTTTTCTTGTAGGAGTTGAGTTCGTTTGACATCCACTTCGTCGACCCTGAGCTTTGTAAAACACTGGTGGAATTGCAAGCCGTTGCACGTAGGAGAAAGGTTTCCGCAAAAGCACAGGAATTAAGTTTCCGTGGAGCAAGTATTGAGGACCTTTGTCTTGAATTTACGCTACCTGGGTACACGGACTATGATCTCGGTCACCGTTCTGATGATGATATGGTACGTACGCAGTTGCTCAATTCTGTGAACAAATCTCTTGCTTGAGTTCCTCGAACAGGTGGATTTATAATACTCTTCTTCTCGTTCTAGGTAAATCTGGATAATCTCGAGGAATATATCAAGGCTATTGTCAACGCAACCGTATGTGATGGGATCGAAAAACAAGTGGAAGCATTTCGGTCTGGATTCAACAAAGTACGTAGCCTTCTTCTCTTTATCTATTTTCTTCTCTTATAGATTCAAGTTTTCTTATCTTGTCACACATGCTTTCAGGTTTTCTCTATTGAACATCTTCGGATATTCAATGAAGAAGAGGTGGAAACTATGCTGTGTGGAGAACGCGATCTCTTCAATGTAAGTAAACCTTTAGATTCTTAAATTACATTTTGATTACTGTTTTTCATCAGCTGAAAATAGAATTCAACTCATTTTGCAGATGAATGAAGTCTTGGATCACATCAAGTTTGATCATGGATATACTTCTAGCAGCCCACCAGTTGAAAATGTTGGTTTTCTTTTGAGCTCAAAATCAAACTACTTTTTCTTTCTGCATTCTCTGTTTTCGTGGATCAAAACTAAAATGGTTTGATTGTATACCAGTTGTTGGAGATTCTGCATGAGTTTGACAAGGAGCAACAGAGAGCCTTTCTGCAATTTGTAACAGGATGTCCTCGGCTACCTCCTGGCGGTTTAGCGTCTCTCAATCCCAAACTAACAATTGTCCGCAAGGTTCAATGCTACTGCAAACCTCTCTCCGTTTCTCACATTTTATGGCATAATCTCTCTCACTCTCTTTGCTCATCATTGCTTTGTTTCATCAAACAGCACGGTAGCGATTCTTCAGAGGCGGACTTGCCTAGTGTGATGACATGCGCCAATTACCTGAAGCTTCCACCTTACTCTTCAAAAGTGACATCTCTTTTCATTCTTTGTTAACCACTCCAGCTTCTCTCTGGACAAGCAAGCCGGTCTTTAGGATCGATCTCACTTGTGTTTTTTTTTTCTTTGCTTGTGTCTGTGTTTTGCAGGAAAAGATGAAGGAGAAACTGATTTATGCCATAACAGAAGGTCAAGGTTCCTTCCATCTCTCTTAAGTTAGGTTCGTGTAAAAAAAGATTTAGCAGAAGCGGTAGGAGACTGAGGAGAGAAGAGTGGATTGTTGGAAGCAAAACAAGAGGAAGCTCTTCTTCTTCTTCTTTTTTTTTTTGTTTTCTTTTTCATAAGATGGCTTTGAAGTTGCGTCTTCTTTTAGGATCTTGTACAAAAAAGAATAATCAGTAGAAGTAGGAAAGATGAAAGAATCTCTCTTTTGGACTTCACTTTATCGAAACACTTGTACATAAAAAAAAAACAAATGGGTTTCTAGAAGTGTTATAATATTATTAATTTGGGTGAGAAATTAGACTGCAAAATTTTGAAATTTGTGAAATCAAAGCATGTTTTTTCGTTAAAATAAAGTAAATAATAATTTGTCCCAATCATGCATTCATATTCCACACAGTTGAGACTTCCTACCTCATTATTGTATTTTAGGTATTCATTAGAAGTTGCAATGTCAATTCGGTTTTATAATTATAAGATAACTACACCGTCGTTCCCAATATCCACTTTTTATTTTGCTTGCCAACAGATTTTGATATAACAATTGTCGATTTACACATAACAACTGTCAATTGATAACCTGACTCGGTCGTCGACTCAAACCACATATATTAAACAATCATGTTATTGATAGTAAGTTTAACTACTCTTTTGGCAACGCGAACATAAATTTGACAAGCGACTTGTTACCTTCAAAAGTCGGTGGGACAAGAAAAAACACAAGCCCTTTTGGGACAGACCCAACCCAACATGAAGTACCTTCAGATCTTTCCTCAAACGCTAAACTCGCATTCAGTACTCCAACACCTGTCTCCTCCAAATCGTTACAGTCGCAATCGCTGATCGCTTCGTCCCTCGAACGTACCTCTACCTTCACACCATCACATTCAGTACTATTCTCGCCATGTTCCTTGATATACAAGAAAACATACACACTTGCCTTTTCGCATGTTACAATTGCCTTTTTCATGCATGCTAATGACATTTTCAGGCACGGTTTTGCCTGATAAACGACTGATATGCCACGGTCGAGAACCGAGGCTGACCTAGTAAGGTCAGTGACGAAAATGTCAAGGTTTTGCTTGACAGAAGGGACGTGGAAGATTGGTTTGAGTCTGGTTTGGGAATGAGCTAAAGAGCTTTGGATTTGAGCCCATTTGTTCAAGAAGTCTGTCCCAACGATGAAATCAGCTACTAAGATGCTGCAGCTTATCCCAATTGAGTATCCTCCACTCTCAAAATTTGTCACCTATTAACAGAATATATTAGGTTGATAAATAATGTAATCCATGATGATAGTTTTGTTTTTTTAATGAAGAAATTAAATTTAATAAAGTTGTAAGTACAAGAAAGATTAGTTACCTGAACATAGCACAATGGAGAGAAACGAGGATCAACTTCATCAATGTCTATCCAGAAGACAGACTCTGCTTCAGCTCTGCTTTTGTCTCTCTTCGACATTTCAAGAAACTCCGGCAAACTAGCCGGAAACCTTGCCTCCACAAGCCTGACGCCACTGTCGTTTGGCACCACCTCCAGACCATCTTCCCTTCTCCGCAGCCTACCGGCGAGCATCGGCTGCTCCGCCAAGGCTTTCCCTAAGGACTCCTTGAAATGTCCTGCGAATAACCACCCTCTCTCACCACCACTTTCACCTTCTTGCTTGTAATACGTAACTATGTTCAGTGTCCGCCGGTATACTCCTGCTCCGACAGGATCTCCGACGGATATGCAACGTACTTTACGGTGTTGGGTCACTTTTACCGGCACCACGCTCAGTACTCCGACTATCATCGATTTGGGGATTTTTGTTTCCATTTTGGCTCTTGTTTGTGAATTTGGCTTTGCATGATTACATGATCCTCTCCAATTTATAGGAGCGTAAAGACTACAGATTACAAAACAAAAGTAGCCAAGTGATAAAAAATATGTGTTTTTTCAAACCTAACGGTAATGTGTGAATATCGTTATTACATATCCAATTTGGGGCGAGTTGCATTAACTGATGCTAACAGGTTAAGGCGATATTTAAACCAATCTTCTATCTAATCTATCATTTAATTCATATAACCAATAAGGTTCGAATTCAGATATATGTCAATGTTTTGCATTTTAAATGATCGGTTGAAGTTGAACTATCATATTATTTGGAGATTCCGTTATCACAGCATTTTTATAAAATTTATATATCTTCATGTGTGAATATTATAATACTATAGCATCGTCGAGTTACATCACAATTGATAACATTATTCCATCGTCGAATTAAACCACATATATTGATATATATATATATATAATAATAATAAAAATTAAACAATGATGTCATTGATGATGGTAACTACTCTTTTGGCAATGCGAAAATAAATTTGACAAGCGACTTGGCACCTCCAAAAGTAGATGGGACAAGAAACACAAGCCCTTTTGAGACAGACCCAACCCAACACGAAGTACCTTCAGATCTTTCCTCAAACGCTAAACTTGCATTGAGAACTCCGACACTTGTCTCCTCCAAATCGGTACATTCGCAATCGCTAATCGCTTCACCTCTCGAGTGTATCTCTACCTTAATATCATCACATTCAGTTTCGCCACAGCCATGTTCCTTGATGAACAAGAAAACATCGCCACTTTCTTTTTTCATGCAGGCTAGTGACACTACGGATTCGCCACGGTCGAGAACCGAGGCTGACCTAGTGAGGTCAGTGAGGAAAACACCAAGGTCTTGCTTGAGAGAAGGGAGGTGAAAGATTGGTTTGAATGTTGTTTTGGAATGAGCTAAAGAGCTTTGGATTTGAGCCCATTTGGTCAAGAAGTCTGTCCCAAGGATGAGATCAGCTATTAGGATGCTGCAGCTTATCCCAATTGAGTATCCACCACTCTCAAAATTAGTCACCTATTAACACAAATACATAGGAAAATCAATTAGTTTTGTATTTTAAAGTTTAGTTTTTGTGGTATTTTTAGAGAACAAAAACAATTTTGTGGTATTTTTGGAATAAAAATTTATACTTTTAAAAGATTAGTTTACCTGAACATAGAACAATGGAGAGAACTGAGGATCAGCTTCATCAATGTCTCTCCAGAAGACAGTCTCTGCTTCGGTGCTTTTGTCTCTCTTCACCATTTCGAGAAACTCCGGCAAACTCGCCGGAAAAATTGCCTCCACCATCCTGACGCCACTGTCGTTGGACACCACCTCCAGACCATCCTCCCTCCTCCGCAGCCTACCGGAGAGCATCGGCTGCTCCGTCAAGGCTCTCCCTAAGGACTCCTTGATCCACCCGGCGACTAACCACCCTCTCTCACCACTATCACCTTCTTGCTTGTAATACGTAACTATGTTTAGTGTTCGCCGGAATATTCCTACTCCGACGGGATCTCCGACGGATATGTAACGGACTTTCCGGTGCTGCGTCACTTCCACCGGCATGACGCTCTGTACTCCGGCGATCATCGATTTGTGGATTTTAGTTTCCATTTTGGCTCTAGTTTGTGAATTTGGCTTTACATCATCCTCTTCTATTAAAAGGAACATAAAGTTATTTACAAAAAAAAAACAAAAAACAAATTAACTATGTGACTAAAGTGATAAAAAAAATGTGCTTTTTCAAACCCAACGGTAATATGAATATCGTAAAATAAATATCGTAAACAGTTCATGGATGGAGTTTGCGTAAAAAGTAGATATGGATGGACTTTTAATGATCATTGACCTGAGTCAAGATCTGCAGCTGGTTAGGCTTTTTATGCTCGTGTGTATACTTCGTATCTATAAACATAAATTAAAGAGATACTTCATGGTGCAAAAAGGTAGCTCGTATTATTTATGATTCGACCGTAATGGTTGAAAGCAATCAATATTAATACCCGAATATAAAATGTGTGATGCAAAAAGAAAACATTATTAATTATGAAAGGATATACACCATATGATTTGTTCTTGCTTCTTACCATCGATTAACGTATTATATACTCCATATGACTTGTTTTTATACTTTTTATTATAAGAAAAGAGTGTTCAACTTCCAACTACTATCTATAGGCTGCCGTTCCAAAATTGCGAGACTCATAAATTGATTGACTCCACGATTTCCGCATGTAGTAGCTCAATTACAGGTTTACAACAACAACGACATCTCAAAGCCGGCCTACTTAAAAGTTAAAACTACTTGATAGGCTGAATCGGTAGAAGACAGCCAATCGTAGATTAGAAAGGAGCTAATGCATCATTTGACTAGCTTTTATGATAGAAGGGCCAGTTCAAGACACTAAGCAATAAAACTGGGTCTGTGCCATTTAATTAGGTTTTAAAACCAATCAAATTATGGCCCAATAAGTGTAATGTGATACATTTTGGCAATTTTATCAAATGCTACACATTTTTCAAAAATGCCATCAAGCAAAAACTTTTCAAAAATACCAACGGTTAATATTACCTTTCACAATTTGAAATTGATGCACACAGCTGAAACTGTAGTTGTTCTATTAAATTGATTCCCACATGTTCAGTATTTTGGAATCTTGTATATAAACGATATTGTACAAATATTATCCAGTGAATCTTTTCTTGGTGTTAGATCGCTGTGTTTGGTACATGTGGGGAATGGTCGCTGTGTTTTCAACAGGAGAAGGATCTTCACAACTACTTTAAATATTCGCAAGGCTTGACGTTTAGTGAATCTTGAAATCATGTGGTACGTTTTGCATTGAATCTCAACCACTGTTTAACCTCTTGTCTTGGGTAAAGTCATCATTTACTGTGTTCTTAAAATTTATGGGATAAAAAATGTAGTTGCCGACATTACAAAAAAAAAGAGGATATCTTACTTTTAGATGTAAAGTAATTTGCCTTATTTTTTCATAAAGTTTTGATATTTCTAATTTCAGAGTTTCACTTGGAAAATTATTTCTTCTTGGGAAAAATATTGCTAAAAAAATAACATGGCACAAATTCATTGGGTAAATAATGCCGACTCACAATACTTTACAAATTTGCTTTAATATAAATAAATAAAACACTACAGATTTTAAAATAACATAACCTCACATTCTACCTTAGTTTCCAAACCCTAAAAATTTAAAGATGGCGGATGAGGCCCGAGACGGAGACGGTTGAAGCACTGCCGCGAGTGGAATCGTGAGCCACCGCTCCGATTCGCCCGACGAAATCAAACCAGCTGCCGAAACAGTGGACGGTGTTGATATCCTCAGCTCTATGCCAGATGAGATCCTCCTCCATATTCTCTCCTTTGTTCCCACCGAGGACGCCATCACTACTTCCGTCTTGTCCAGACGATGGAGGCATGTATGGTGCTGGACACACAGTCTCGAATTTCAAGACTATTCTAGGCGAACGAGGACGGTTCAAGACATAAACCAAACCCTAATTTCCTACAAGGCTCCGAAAATCACGAGTTTCCTTCTTCACATGACCCTCGGGCCTGATGTCCTTGTATCCCAAATGGATAGCTGGATAGAGTTCGCTATGTCCCGCAACGTCGAAGAACTGTCTTTATCAGTCAACCCACACGCGGAGAATTATAGTTTCCCAGATGTCTTCTATCTTAGTTCCTCTTTAGAGCAACTAAGCCTGACCATCGGTTTCTATATGATTCCAAGATGCACAGTGTCTTGGAAATCCCTAAAGAACTTGTCATTGACTGGATGTTTTCTCAAAGATGAATCTTTTGCTAATATTCTCTCCGGCTGTCCAGTTCTTGAAAGCTTGAACTTTCATCGCTGTTATCGTTTACCTAAGCGTCTTGATCTGAGTAAATCACCGAGTCTGAAGAGATTGGAGATATATCATCAATTAAGGCATACAGGACCAATGGAGACTCTAGAGCATAAAGAACCAGTGGAGATTATAGCGCCGCACATCCTTTATTTGAATTTGAGTAGCTCTGAGGAACCACCATTCACTTTAGTGGATGTCTCTTCTTTGACCGAAGCTAGCCTTGACATTTGCATTAGATTTCGACCCTTTATTTTTAATTCCAAGGCTCATTCTCTTCAAACAATGGTGCTAAAGATGCTAGCGAAATTGCAAAGCGTAGAGAGGCTTTCTTTTGATGGAACCTTTCTTCAGGTATGTCGACTATTCTTGCATTCTCTACTTAATTAAGAGCTCAAACTTTCTTGTTTAAAGCCAAATGCATATGTGTGTATAAACCACCTATAATATATATGAACGCCTTGTAAACATCAACTTGGTAAATTTACAAATTAATTTGACCTTTTCATCTGATTTTGTTAGATTCTATCTCTCGCCGAGCTACGTGGTGTTCCTTTCCCAACGCTCAGTGTCCAAACTTTGACTCTTGTAACCAAGCTTACAAGATCTGTTGTTCCTGGTATACAAAGGTTACTACAAAATTCACCGAGATTAAAGAAGCTAATAGCAAAAGCAGCGAACCCTGCCGACATGATAAAGGTATTTTTACCAGAAACCTCTTTTATTTTCTTGTATTTTATAGTGCGACCATAATAACTAAGTAGGAACATTCCAAGAACAATGTCTTTCACTTATTGTTGGGCTATAGTATTTGATATTCTCTAAAAATCACACGAATTGGGATAACTTTTTTATGCTCTATACAGGATAGGGACATGGACAGCTATTTGGATTCACAAGGCTTGAATCCGGATCAATGTTGGAGTTCAAAATATGAGTTGTTTCCTACCTCATATGAGTTTCGTCAGGAGGCAATGTCCAAACTTGTGGCATCGTTCATTGAAATGTTGCTGAGGAACGTAAACACACTAGAGACGTTGGTTGTAGTGTTGAAATATATCCGTTACGATGCAAAACGGTTTGAAGAGTTGCTTCAGACGCTTTCTAACAACAATAATGTCTCCATCGTCTTCAAGCGCTAAGTATTTGCGTCAGTGTTTTTCGAAGTTAAACCACATATTCTAACTTCCGATAACAAAAGATTGTAATATATAATTGATGATAAAAAGTACCTTTTTACACAAAAGTAGCAATTATATTTTTGAAAACAGATTGATTAGATTTATTGAGGTCAATAGTTCGACAGAAACTTGGACTTACAAAAGGAGTCAAATTTTATATACTATGCATATTAGTTAGTTACTTAATCATCAAGAGCCACAAGTTAAGTTGTCTTGTTCAAGAATTGTGTCTTTTAGATTAAAGAGTCATGTCTTTTAGATTAAAGAGTTATGTCTTTTAAACACAACTTTTCATTTGTATAAATATGTGATCAAGTTTCTGTTTCTTATATCACAAAAAGTTGTAACAAATTCAAGTTATCAGTACAAGATTACAAGTTTCGTTACAATATATACTCTGTTTTTTCTTTCGTTTGGTAAACATCATCAAACACAAATCATTAACACATACAACTATTCTCCATACTAGATTTCTCTTTATTTTAAGGAAATTTGGTGATAAATTAGGAAAGGAATAACTTTTGATTTTAAATCTACCATCACACACATTATATATATCGAACTTTCAAGGCTTACATACCGTACTAGTATTATTCTTAGACGAGAGATTAGTTTCCAAACCCTAAAAGCGAAAGATGGAGGACGAGACCCGAGACGGAGACGGTGGCAGCACCGCCGCTAGTGGAATCATTAGCCACCGCTCCGATTCTATCAACGAAATCAAACAAGCCGCCGAAACAGTCGACGGTGTTGATATCCTCAGCACTATGCCAGATGAGATCCTGCACCATATTCTCTCCTTTGTTCCCACCGAGATCGCCATCACTACTTCCGTCTTGTCCAAACGATGGAGGCCTGTATGGTGCGGGACACATAGTCTCGACTTTGATGACTCTGATGAATCTAGAAGAACGGCGACGGATGGAGACGTAAACCAAACCCTAATATCCTCCAAGGCTTCGAAACTCACGAGTTTCCATCTTCGCGTGACCAAGTCTGATGTCTCTGCGCCACAAATGGATAGATGGATCGAGTTCGCTATGTCCCGCAACGTGGAGAATCTGTCTTTGTCAGTCAACTGCAAGGAGACTCATAGTCTCCCAGATGTCTTGTATCGGAGTTCCTCTTTAGAGCAACTAACCATATCCGCGGAGATTGATATCATTCCAAGCTGCACAGTGTCTTGGAAATCCCTGAGGAAGCTGAAACTGAAAGATTGTTGTCTCTATGATAAATATTTTGCTAATATTCTCTCTGGCTGTCCAGTTCTTGAAACCTTGAGCTTGTTTTGCTGTGATGCTTTACCTAAGCGTCTTGATCTGAGTAAATCACCTAGTGTGAAGAGACTGGAGATATATCAATTGTATCATACGGCAGGACCAATGAAGATTATAGCGCCCCACATCCATTCTTTGAGTATGAGAAGCTCTGAGGGACTATTTCCTTTGGTGGATGTCTCTTCTTTGACCGACGCTACCCTTGACGTTTTCTTGTTTCACCTACAATCTCCATTGTATTATGCTGATTTTCTTCAAAAAATGGTGCTAAAGATGCTAGCCAAATTGCAAAACGTAGAGAGGCTTACTCTTCATGGAAACCTTCTTCAGGTATGTTTCCCATTCTTGCATTCTCTACTTAAAGCCAAATGCATATATATATAACCACCTCTAATATATAAGCCTCTCTACGTTTTGCAAGCATATATATATGAACGCCTTAAAAACTTAAATTTGCTAATGCTAAATAACTAGTTTTTTAACAATGCTAAATAACTAATATATATATATATAGTTTTCTTGTTATGATTCATTAATCAGGTTGACCTTTTTTTATCTTGTTTTGTTAGATTCTATCTCTCGCCGAGCTCCGTGGTGTTCCTTTCCCAACGCTCAAGGTCAAAACTTTGACTCTTGAAACCGTTCTTGGAAGATCTGTTATTCCTGGTATAGAAAGGTTACTACAAAGTTCACCTGGCTTAAAGAAGCTAATAGCACACGCAACGGACCTTGCCGACATAAAGGTATTATTACCAGAAACCTCTTTTATTTTCCTGTATATAATTAGTAAGACCATAATAATTAAGTAGGAACATTCCAAGAAGCATGCCTTTCCCTTTTTGTTAGGCTATAATGTTTGATATTTTGTAAAAATCACATGTATTGTTAGTATGCTTTGGGATAACCTTTTATGCTCGTACAGGATAGGGATGTGGACAGCTATTTGGATTCACAAGGCTTGAATCCGAATCAAATTTGGAGATCAAAATATAAGGCGTTTCCTGAATTAATCGAGTATAATGGGACGATAAAATCTTGTAACCGTGCAATGTCCAAACTTGTGGCTTCCTACATGGAGATGTTGCTGAGGAACGCAAACACAATAGAGACGTTGGTTGTAGGGTTGAGATGTATCGGCTCTTATGATGCAGAATGGTTTGAAGAGTTGCTTCAGATGATTTCCAACAACAATAACGTCTCCATTGTCTTCAAACGCTAAGTATTTGCATCAGTATTTTTCCGATTATGTTATTCTCTTACAAAACAACAACTTTACTTTCTTTTTGTTGCTTTCTTTTCTCTGTTTGGTAATCACTTTGTCCTGTAATCTTTCCCCTACCGCAACAGTGAGTCTCAGATTCATTGTTGCAGCCTTCTTGCAAGAAATAGCTTTTGGTTAACTAAGAATATATCAAGA